ACTGACTAAGTCATAGTCATCCAACAAACCTGCATGGAAGAAATAATTGCACTGTATGCCCTATGTCAGCTCTTTCTATAGTGAGGCGGAGCACCTAAATATGCATAAAAGCACATTTGGCTGAAAGCTGGATACCTGGGATTTTAGTTCTAGATCTAGTTCTGTGATGGTGACAAGTCACATAACTACTTCCCTTTCAGTTGAGTGCTGGGTATCAAAAGAGTGATAAAGTCACACATTCTGATCACAGTGGGAATGATTCTCTGCTTTTAAGGTTCCATGTGATTAGATTAGGCTCACCTGGATAATGCAGGCTGATTTCTCATTTCATTTAAACACATCTGCAAAGTCTCTTTGGCAGTCTAAGGTAATATATTTCCATGTTCCAGGGATTAGAATGTGGCCATATTATCGGGGCCATTATTCCACCTACCACAAGGCTGTAAAAGCTAATTTTTGTATTAGGGTGGAGATCTAGTTACTTCTAAGAATCTCCCCAAAATATAAGTGCAAATACTGCACATAGTTCTTCTTTTCTTTTCTTTTCTTTTCTTTTCTTTTCTTTTCTTTTCTTTTCTTTTCTTTTCTTTTTCTGCCTTTGTAGTCTTCAAGCAAGAAACTTAGAACGGTTACTGGCCAAAGGGACTAGAAATCCAACATTGCAGAAAGTACTACAGGTGAATTAAGAGAATGAAAAAGGAGATTAGAAAAATAAACCATCAGTATAAGCATACCATGAATCTTAATTTTTGCTTTGAATAAATAACACATTTATATGCTTCAAAAATGTTTAAAGGTATGTAATAAAAATATTCCCATATCTTCTCCCCCAATAACACAGCTGTTAGGTTCCTATATAACTTAAGAAACCTAGTGTGAAAAGAAACTACGTAAGTAGAAAAGTATATCACAGTGGGAATGATTCTCTGTTTTTAAGGTTCCATGTGATTAGATTAGGCTCACCTGGGTAATGCAGACTGATTTCTCATTTCATTTAAACACATCTGCAAAGTCTCTTTGGCAATCTAAGGTAACATATTTACATGTTCCAGGGATTAGAATGTGGCCATATTTCTGGGGCCATCTTTCCACAGTTCATTCCTGCATATACACCAAATACGAATGCATATTCCTATCTTTCACTCTTCACCACCAGGAAAGAAGAAAGCATTCTATATGCAGCTCTACTCCATAAGTAGAAAAACAATCTATAACAGAACATAGGGTGTTTTTCCTTCATTCCTCATTGCAAAAACTTTCTACTCCATTTCATAGATGTACCACAAATCTCATGGCCATTTGATGTGATTACAACACCATTTATAGAATAGACTCCTCTGTACTGATTTGTAGTGCTTCCTTTATGTTTAACTCCAATATCCATTTAGGCTTATTTATGTCCTATGAATTATTTATTAGCTTCCCATACCACAGAGTTTTAAATATGTTTTAATGTCTGGTAGCCCTTGACTTTTCTCATTACTCTTCTTTTTCAACTATTTCTTTTATTTCTCATCTGCTTATCTTTCTTTATATAGTTTAATGGCAAATTGTCTTGTTTACAAACACCTATTGGCATTTCTATTTATATTCATAAAATTTATGAATTTACATAGGGAGAATTGATACATTTATTATGTTGTCTTCCTATCCAATAATATAGTATACTTTTCTACTTATGTAGTTTCTTTTCATACTAGGTTTCTTAAATGATATACATGGGATCTTGATGAAAAGAGGCAAGGTGTTGTTGAGTACTGTTGGGCATTCATAGACAGTGCGGAAGAGGTACTTAAAACAGGGAACTGCTAGTTATAAGCATACAATTTACCATATGCTTAATCCTAACAAGAAAATAAAAACACCCTTATTCCAGACAGGGACAGTAAACTAACTGGGAAGGGGTAGCAGTAAACCAACTTGGTTCACTGATATAGCAAACCACAAACACTCAGACACACACTGAAATACACACTGTCTTACTCTGCCTAGAAGAAGTGACACAAAGGTCCTCTGACCAAGTGCCCCTTTCCTGAACAACCAATAACTCCAAACAAATCCAAATCTTCTGAAACCCGAGTTACATCCCAGGGTATTAAAACTATTGATGAGCCCCCTGAACAAAGAATTGTAATCTCACTGGATGCTTGTGTTTAAAGGACCTCTCCACATTCTCTCTCTCTTGCCTCCCCTTTGTACCAAGCTAGTTCTCACTCTGCCTTGAGGTCTCAGTTTCCCTGAGACTGGATTAGATGCTCCAATTTTTGCTTCCATAATACCCTCAACACTGCTAGCATCACACTTACTAAACCTTATTGGAAGATTTCAGTGACTTTTGTTTTTTATGATGCCTTCAGCAACAAACCCTGTTCCTTGGGGGATGCTTATTAAAGGAACAATAAGTGAATCAATGAATGATTCTAGAATAGAATGTTCTCTATACTATTTTCTTTTTTGCAAAATTTAGTGTTATTTTTATTTCTCAAAGTTACAAGCCAAAAGAAGACAAAAATTCATATATCACTGTAATAGAGATAATTGTGAAGAAAGATTGAAAGGTAAACATTTCAATCAATGATCATAACCTTGAGTGAGCACCGTTTCATTATCTGATTGAAGAATTTGACACTTGCATACTTCCCTTACCTAAAATTACCCATCACTTAACGATTTATTAAGAAAACAGTATGTTAAGCATGTTAAGTGATATAGAATATAAAAAAGCTAAGGTATATGTTTTGCTTGCTGTGCCCATCCATCTAGTGAGAAAGGTAATGTATGCATCAACAATGCAAAGATAAACAGCAACACAAAGATAGAATTTAAGTACCAGCTGACTGGGATGCCAGAAAAGATGATGGTGATGCTAACTGTCAGCTGGGCTGGTGAGGAAGACCCTTCAAAGTAGGAAAATGTTGAATAGCCTTGTTAGATTAAAGAACAGAAGGCCAGACAAGTATGGGAGTTGCCAGACTGACTATCTTTATTGATTTGGGGAGTTGTGTAGAAAAGGTAATAAGTCTACATCTCAAATCTACTTTTTATATTTACCAATGAATAAATAGAAATTTAATGCTAGAATAAATAATGCCTCAGATATATATCTTATTTCCTGTCCTCAGGAATATGAGAATGGGTTTACGCTACTACCTTCTGCTTCTAACAAAAAGTGATTGCAAAGTCTTGAAGAACTTAGAGGACTACTTGCTCCATATAATTATATGGAATCGCTATTTTTTAAAAGAAAACCATATAACTCAAGCAATATTTTTTCTCTACACATATGCACAACATCACTCTTCACTTGTGTAAGCAAATAAATTATAATCTTGACTACAGTATTGTTTTTCAGTAATTTTTTCTGAACATAGGTTTTATTCTATTACAATGCTTGAATGACTCACATGCAGTGTTTCCAATCCACTTTTCCTGGCTTGTGAAACTTTTTAACAAAATGTTAGCATTTGCAAGCACCAGATGTTTTGACATAAGGAGAAGCAATATGTAAATTTTAATCCATGCTAGGAACAATAGCCTGCAGGCACATTTTTCTTGTTACATGAATCATATACTTAACCACAATGTGGTCGAGCCTATCAAAATTATCACTATCTCAAATGTAATACTCTTGTCTTATGGTTGCCAATTAATGAAACTGACACATATTTAACCTGATAGGTATCCATTACTTAACCAATAAGACTTATTGTATTTTACCACTACCCTACCACATAGCAAGAACTCTGCAGGTGACCATAACAACTTTTAGGGGGTTTTAATCTTCCTTTTGGTGGTCAATAAAATCAATGCTTGTATTAGATCTTAATGTTTTACAGCTGCAAATATTATTTATTTTACCAAAAATATTAAAACCTATTACAACTTTCTTAATCTTTTCTACTTTTAACTCAACTCAGGGTAAGGGGTATGATGTATGGGGTGTGTGTGTGTGTTGTGTGTATTTCTAATAGGAAAGATTTGGAGATATCTTCAATGTTTTCTAGATATATGTTCCAATAAAGAATAACATATTCTCTTTAGCTTAAGGATTTGCTAGGAACAAAAAAAAAAAAAGAATAACAAAGAAGAACATATTCTCATACACAGACTTTTTCTAATATTGAAGAATTATAAAACTTTTAAAATAAGCTCCCACATGGACACACATACATATGTATGCCCAAACACACCACAGATGTACATACACATACAATAAAAAATCAAGTATCAAATCCATCCAGTCATCCATATTTTCAGCCTATATACTGTTTTAAAAAAATTCATTCTGACTTTTTACCTGTATTAGGTTGATTATTCGTTCCATACAAAGATTAATATAATGATCAGTATTTTGGCCATTGATAATACTTTAAGAAAAATATGTATACAATATTACTTTTTTTAAAAGCAAAGAACCTATATTTGAACATAGAACACCACCTTTTATGGTTAACTCTGAGCAGTCCTGTTTTAACATTTTAAAATGAAGTATGGAGGGAAAAATTCCATAAACATGGTATTAAATACTAAAAAGTCTTAACACAACTGAAATCCTTATTAATTTCATTATCAAAGGATAGGTCTAGTCAATACCAATTAGCAGCTTTAAAATGTTTTACATATTAAAATACAGTATTCTATTTATCCTGGATTGTCTGGGGACCATCTAGTATATTAAAAGGTTTTGCAGAGTTTCTTAGTGATTTCACTGCTACCATTATGCCTGTTAGCAATTTTGCAACATTCTGATAAATATTTTCCATAAATCAAAGCCATAACGGCATGGTGAAGCAGATGGCAGGAGGCCATATTAAAGAATGTAACAATTATTTTCATTAATAGGGAAATATTGAATCATCGTTTTCAGCATCGACCATGTAGTTAGCAGTTGTCAGTTGTGATGGCTGGTTTTAAATAACCCTTCAAATGATTAACCCACATTCTCTGTTTTCCAGTGCAGTCTATATACAAAGGCAGAACAAAAACTGTAAAAAACTTTGTAATTATAGTCTTTCATTTAATATATGCAAAGAAAATATTGGTACATTTTAAGGTATTTTTATAAGATTCACTTATGTATTAAAGTATACCAAAGTTCTCCATTTTCTTAGAAAATAAGACACATTAGTTATTAAAAATGAAAAATACCAATAATTACAAATTCTACAGTATTGTTATATTAACAATGTTGTCTTGATCTAACCAATGTTAGATTAAAATTATGGGAATGTTACTTCAGCTATTCACATATGTAAAACACTATTAAAGTCAAAGATATTTAACTACATTATAATTATTAAGATTAAATAGCTGAATTAATTTTAGCCTTGTATGCCATAAGCAACTGCTATGCTGTTAGATAAGATTCTTAAATTTAGTTTGCTTTTAAACTTCAGTATCATATTTAAAGAACAATATGTAACTTCCTAATTATATATAATTCAGCAAAATCAGTTCCTTCTTTCTTTTGTATATTTCGTTTGTTACATAAACTACCAGCTTTAACACAAAACCAAATTTATTTCTGTGGAAAAAATAAAATTGAAAATATAGAATTTTTGAAATAAAACAGTAGTGCAGGGATAAAAGAAGTAGTATTACAAACACAAAAGTTTTTACTGTTGTTCTTTATGCCTGCTGGATAATGTAAGGAAAATACATTTTACGGAGAATTTCATCAGTAGAAAACACAATAGAAATCATCTGATTATGCAGAAATACACATAAAAATCCCTTTACAAGCAGATAAAAAGTTTCCTTTTATGTATAAAGCAGTAGATAATAGTATTTCATCATTAAGTTGGTTGAATCTTGAGGGATATATTTTTTAATCAAAACAGCTGTTTTCTCATAATCTCCTATACACTCAAATTCTCTATGGACCTCAGAGGGAAAATGTACCACAGAAAATTTTAAGAAAAGCTATGTTTTTCTGATTTTGAATTGTTTCCTTGTTTCCAAATTAAAATTCATACAAATAATAACTATAGGAGGGTCATATAAAATATAAGATCAGAAACACTTGAAGTGTATTTAGTATTTATTAGGTAAATGTAATGAAATCTCTGTATATACAAATATTAAGTCAAACTGACATACTTATCCACATATGGGACACTGGAGGCGCAAATGATGTAATTCCATATAGCACATAGAGACTATGCCATTCTCAATACTGAAACAAAATGCAGTCCTTCAGGTGTTTTTAAGAAACCCAGATGGTTGATCTTGCACTGATAAAACAGGAAATAATTAATTGATTCCAATTTTCATCCACATCTTACATATCAGATGGTCAGTAAATACCTAAAATGTTTGTATGGGGTCAAAGACATTGTTAAAAAAAAAAAAAAAAAAAAAAAAAAAAACCATGGAACACTCAGTTATGCCATTTATTTATTTAAATGTTTAAATTCCACAACATCCAAACAGGAAAAAGGTGTTTTCATGATACTTTGAAGTATAAGAAAATTCCTGTATGACTCAGTCTTTCAAAACAAAATAAAAATATATTCTTTTTAAAGTTATGAAATCTAACTTTTCTCTTGACATTATGGTAAATGAGCATACCAAATCAGGACATTCTTTGTATCTATTTTTTTTAAACTAAGAACTATTAAATATTTGATTTACAGTCATGTAGGTGGGGAAAAATGAGTTGAAAAAGGAAGAGAAAGGCTATTTCTCAATGTCCCCAGCTCATCTGACTATTTATTATTTAGAACTTTTTTTAAACCTATACAAAGAAAGCTATGGTCACTGATATGCCTATAAACTGAGAAAATATTATCTGTACATATAGTCTCCATTTGATATAGGAAAAGTTCAAGAAGAAAAGGCACTAAAAGAAAAAAAGTTGTAAAGAGCTATATCTCCTCACAGGAGGTCATTATTATTTTAAGATAATTGGAAGTTGGAAAAGGCTATTTAATGTGAATCTATGAAAAAGCAGCCAACATTTAATAATACAGAAAATGACTGGATGGGACATTATTTTGAAAAAATAATGAAAAGCAATACTATTATTTTATCTTACTGTAAAGGAAGTTTTTTTTTATAATTGTAATTATGAATTAATTCTTTAAATGAAAATGGATAATTGTATATTAATTGAATGAACAAATCGATAATTGTGTATTAACAGTGCCATTACAGTTGATGCTTTTTGTGACAGCATTGTTTGACAAAAAATTTGCCTCTTTTACTATTATGAAAAATCTCATTTCTGCAAAACATATTCTAGACAGTCATAAATTTTTCTAAGGAACTATCTTGATTCTTATATATTCAAATAATTTGCTTTTAAATTCACATTATTTTTGTTTTGAAATTTATTTGCATCATTTCAAATGTTATGGTCAGATGTTTATATTATTCAGTAATTATAGTGAAACTGACCCATAACTATATAATAAAGATGAGGCATAGTTTGTTGAGTGGGCAGGTCATGTTTGAAAAATGACTATATAAATGAACAACTTTTTAGTGAATCATCTAATTTTTGGTACACATTTACTTCCCTATGCAACCTCATCATTATTAGGAATGTGATAACTATATTTAGATAAGTAGGGGACCCCATCATTATACATGACATTACCTGCACACCTAACAGACCTGATTCAGGAATTTTTCACTTGGGATCCAAGAAAACATTCAGGAGATCCCTAAGATCTCTGAATGCATGCAAATTATTGTCCATATAAACAGTTCTATACTTTTCTAGGGAGAGGGTCTATAACTCACTAGATTCTCAAGGGAATCTGCCTTAAAAAGTTAAGAACTATCATCTAATTAATGTTTAATCTATTTCAGTTGACTGGGACATAGCACAACTCTTTACTCTCTTTAAAAATGCATTACCCATTTTACAGTTTTCTGACATCTCATAATCTGAATGTAGCAGCAAATATTAGTTCCCTCTCCAGATCTCTTGTGTTTAGGCTCTATCGTCCTGTGCCAAGTCCTTATATCAGCCAAGATTGTGAAGGATAGGTTTCAGGGCCCAGCTGTTGTACTTTAACAGAATGGAAAATGGTGACTGAGTAATGACATCATCAGTGCAAGTCTGTTCAAAATATAAAGAAATGAGAATAATAGATAAAATGAGAACAGAAGCAGTCTCTATCTTATAAACTGACATGTTTTCCATGAATTCCAAATATATTCCTTCTCTATAATTTTTAATGTAAATCAAATTATCAACACAGATAATAAAGTGGAATTTTGTTATAAAATTAAAAATATGTAATGTATTCTTGAAAATTATTGAGAATATATATCTAATAGCTGTTTCACATGACATATTTCAGATGAATTTATCTATCAGGCTTTAATGGCTGTACCCAGAAATTAGTAATTATTTTTCCATGCCAAACAATAAAAATTATTTTAACTTTTCTAAATCTGAGCAAGTAAGCTAAGCCTGAGATAATTATTATGTCGTAAGAATTTACTATTTCTCTACTTTTATGAGCTTTAGGGTCTCAATCTTATACTGATATATTTTCCATGTGAGAAATAACTAAAAGATCTTTTCAAAATCTATCCCAAAGCTTTAACTTCATGAAAGATTACATCTCACTCAAGTTACTAATCTATATTTTAATTTTTAGGGTCCTCCCTCCTACTAAAAAAAAGTGTTTCTATTATATTAATACTATATTATTTCACCCTAATTTTTAAGGGCCTTCACAACCTGTTGTCAATCTTATGTTTCAGAACTCCCCAACGGGCATCTTCTAGGGTATCCAGATATTTCCAGAGAATGTCCCATAAAGACACTCCCCCAGTTATTCTCACTTTCATCATTTGGTTGATATTATTCCTTTATTTGCTCTCACATTCACTCAATTAATGCCTTTAAAGAGAAGTCAAATTCTGCTGTTCCCACAAACTTTGTCATTCATTTTCATTTTCTTTGACCTTCTGTATTTACAACTTATGCTTAGACTTTTTTATTCTATGTCTTCTATCTTTTGTTTTTCATTCATTCTTGTTAGCTACTTTAGGAGCAACACCATATCTTGTTCATCCCTTCTGCATTTTCTCAGGACCCACTGCAGTTCTGAGTATGCCTCCATAAATACTCATCTATCGGATGATCACTCATGGAGGTCCAGCACAGAGCAATGTGCTTGGTAACTTAATTCCCTAACCTAAAACAAGCACAAGAGATAAAAATCTGAGTGAGGCATCACATATATAAGTGCTTATAATAAATGCTAACAGTGTAATCAAAGATCATAGGCCTCTCTAAGTGCTACTAGAAATAGAAAAAAAACGAAATAGAACCTTATGCTCCTCTCTGAACTGAAAATAATAAGAAATAGTTTCTGTTTTACTCATTATTTTGTCAATTGGCAATTCAATTTTCAATATTTTATCCATCTGGAACAAAACAGAATCAACAACTAATTGATTTCTATCCAATATTGGACATGATGAAAAGTTTTAAACATCTGAAAACTGTCCTTGTAGGGGACTTTTTATATTTTATTGACTGAAATTGATGATCTGATATATTTTCTTAATGAAGAAAATAAAATTTAGAATGTGATTTTAATGCAGTCGGAAGAATGAAGAAAATAGAAGAACATATACCTGAATTATGTGCATATGTGTGGATGTATGTTTGTGTGAGGGGATACAATTCTGGTCCATACTCCTGAGGAAAATATTCAATGTGTTTCTTTTCCCAACAGAGCCTGGAGACATAAATATGCATAGATGCTTTTAGAATTATTGTAGAATTAGTGTAACTGAACCAACTGAAGAAATTAGGCTCTAATTTTAGTAACCAATGTTTTTATAAGTTATCTGTATTTTATTGTGGAAAATTCTCACATTTACTATAGATTTGCTTGTCAACCACAAGTGAAAGATAATCTATTATATAATTATTTCTTCTACAAAGCTTGAACTTTAGACATGTCCACTAGACAATGGTAAAAGGCAATGACCACCTGATATGTTGATCTTGATTCTTGATGTCTGCTGTAAGAGTTGAAGAGAAGATGGAAGTGAATAAGAGAAGATTTATATATTTCAGTCGTTTTACGCTTTGCAGTCATTAGTTCCAGTAGCACACCACCAAGTTGCTGCTTTTAAAACATCAGTAAAGAGCTGCTTCTTATGCTGTACGTCTTTCCAAGAAAACAGAATTTAAGTGTATTTGGACTCTGTAGTCAAAGAAGAAAACACCTCTTTTTCGCTCTCAATAATTCATTAACACCATGATTTTTCTTCCTGTGAATTCTTCTGTTGCTATCAGTTTTTCATGAACAACACATTCCTTTTGGAAAAAAATACAAACAAACAAGCCAAAGCAACATATGAAACACAGAGCATAATTGCATAGCACCAGAGTAGAATTGCTTTCCAGTTGATGAATTGAGTCTGTTTATTTCTTACAATTCATCACCATCATCTGAGCTTAAGCTACTTTTCCTACTGCTCTCTTTGGAAACTGCAGGGGAAGTGGCAGATAGCAGAGGATCTGTTCCAAATGGAGAGATTGTGTCGTCCAATAGCATGCCATCCAATCTTTGTTCCTCTTTCAATGCAGCACTAAATGATAAATCTGTGAAGTATGACAAAGGATCAGAAAAGGCTATAGCTTGATCACAGAGCTCGAGGCTTCGTCCCTGAGATACAGTCAGTTGTTGGCAATAGTCTACTGAGTTCTGCTCAGGATGGCTCTGCTGTTTGGTGACATGAGCACCTAAATCAACTGTGCCAAGTGAAGCCAGGGTTGGCAGACCATGAGTACGAGCCTGAATTTCTAGTTCCTGTAATTTCAAATGAGAATCATTAAATAATGTATTTGAAATTGGACTTAATACTAGAGAATAAGCCAGACTAGAATCAAAATATTAACAAGCATTTAAAATGAAGAGTAATACAATACAAATTATGATAATCTTTGCAAAAATGAAATTGATACATGTCTAATGCCTAAAAATAACTCTGAGAAAATTACTCAGATTAAAAAAAAAATTTTAGTCTCATTGTTCTACCAGAGAATTTATGACAGAGGATGATTCCACAGTGGCTCAGACTACAATACAGCCATTTGAAGACAGCAGAAATCATCCATTTATTCTTCCTGATTAATTTCTCACCAAAAATGCAGGACCTTTTCATGGAAACAGAGTAAAAGCTTTACCTGCCTCTAAGCATACTCACATTTTAAAAAACTTAAGAGTTATAAAAGCCCATGTTTTGATATTTCAGATTATATGAACAGATAAGCAGTGACTTAATATAAACTGACACAACATGCCTTGAGGCAATGAAATCCTTAGCAATGTTAGTAAAGAAATGAAAGAGGGAGGGGAGGATTTAATGTTCATTATAATCTAGAGAAACAAATGTTCTACTTAGTATTATTATTTGAATGTGATAATAAGTTGTGCATTTATGAAATGAGTTCTATTTTATGCATTTTGTAATTTGTTGTCATATATATGTTTATATACACACATATACACACATGTGTGTATATATACATATATACACAATACATTTTCAACCATCGGGATCCTGGATTTCTAGTCAAAACCTAATTGAAACAACCCAATTCACGAATTTCTAAAAAGCAGTAAAATTATCCTTCAAAAGGAAAAATAATTGTTAATAAGAGAAAAAATAAATGAGACCAATGAAGAAAACGGATGACAGCTGAGTCATATGTAAGGTATGTGGCTCATGGCAACGCTCTTATAAAAACCTGAATCCGAAGTAGAAGTCGCCTGTTAGCCTGCTCTAATTTCTTCTGTCTGTGTTCTAATTCTCGGGCTCTCTGTTGTTCTTTTTGTAGCCACTTGATGTACTCCACTGATGCTTTTAGAATAGTTCCTTTGTTCCAGCGCATATCACTGTAGAACGGAGAGATAACCTTTTCACAATTGTGCATGTCAGCAGAATTCATAAGAACTTACAAAATCTTTTACATTAATATGAAATAATGATTTACATGACTATTATTCACTCTTAGATATTATTGCTTCTGAATAGAAATTTTAATAGAATAGTTAAGAAGCCCTTATATAGTAAAATTAATCCCTGAATGAAAATAAGTGTCAAAAGAAAGTAATAAAGTGACTTTTTGTGGGAGAGCTAAATGCAATATCATGATTCTACCATTACAGTTTTTATATTTTTAGTGAAAATTGCTTTTATTATTAACTCTGAGATTAAAATCTATGTGCAGTATTTCTGCATTAATGAACTAGGAAATGTACATTGCTGAGGACTTAAGCCTAAATTTTTAAAGATCATTTCAAATGTAGCAATCTTTTAACTTACTTTATAATAAGGTTGCTTTTATGTTTCTAAGAAAAAAAAAATAAAGTCCCTCCTGAATGGTGATCCTCAGCAATTGTGAAACAAATCAGACTCTGGCAACATCACTTTATGTAACACAGCAAACTTTCTAAAACCATTCAGTCAATTTTTATGTACAAACATCATCAAAACTTTTTAAAAGCTTGATATGAATAGCTATTTTTAAATACATTGAAGATAAGTAAATGTAATTAAACATTACTGGATAACTTTTTAGGCTATAGCATAGAAGAAATCATTTTATTAAAACTTACTTTTAAGACAGGAGAAATTAATGATATGAAATTGTGGAAGAGGCTACTAATTTTGACATCTGAAAATATACACTAATGAATGTAATACTGTATGAGAACTGATAATATGTTTGGAGAATGAGACCAAACTAATTGCTAAATGTTAATCAGAGTTGTTGGAAAACCTTGATGCATTTTTAATTTAGAGTCATGAGTTGTTTTTAATATAGCATAAAGTACACAAGTAAGGAAATATGACATTTTTCTACAGTATATTTTTGGTTATGTGACAATGCCATCAGCAGTAAAATACTAAAAGAAGAGACATTTTTCTATCAGCAGGTGAAAATGCATACTGGAACCTGGGTAAGAGCTCTGGTTTGCTGAAATGCACCAAAACATTGTCAATGAACATCACAAGTTTGAAAATGCTTTGTCATTTCTTTAAGGCTATAGTGGCTGTTGGTCTCATTCCATTTACAGGGTGAGGGGAATGGGTGGGCTAGTGGTGGTGGGAAAGGTGGGGAAAGGCAGGTTATCTTTGTTGTTAAACCAAGTATCTGTAACTGAAAAGTATAATGGACTCTCAACTAAACTTATAGCAGTAGCAAAAGCCTCATGGACCCCTTTTTTGTGTCATCTTTTCTCATGGGGAGGAAAACTTGAGGACAGGGAAATAGATAAAAAAAAGATAACTCTGGCCAACTCTGAATTTTAAAGTACTATCATCAAAAATAAACCTTCAAAATGGTAGTAGAGAACATAGAACGAACCTCCCTTCAATTTGTACCTGATGTCACTTACAATACATTTTTAAAAGTCTTTGTCTTTTATTGTTATTTTTGTTTAGGTTTTGCTTTTTTATCAGTGGTCAAGAGATTGTCATTGTCTAGTAGTGTTTTTTTCACATAATTTTCTCAACCTATACTTCCCAATTACAGCTGTTCTCTACATTCTTTTCCTCTAACCTTACCATTTTGACCTGCAAAGAAATAGAAACTTTTGAATGTTTTGATTCATAAAAATGAAAACTTCATAGAATTCAAAGCGTCTTCAGGTATTAGCTTTGATTTCCTAAGCCAACTCCAAAATATATTCCAATCAGGAGCTGGAAATTTCCTCAAATGTCAACCATGCCACGATTCCTGCTATTTGCCTAGGAGTATATGGTGTTAGGGGATAAGCCCCAGATTTCCTCACTCAGTTCAGTACTCTTCCTGTCAACCTGTGGCTTTCCCACCTTTCGAATGCATCTGTCATAAGAAACATGTTTTATATAGTGGCTTGGCACACTCAGTATACAAAACTGCAATAAAGATTTCACAGGGTTTTCCTATTTTCTTTACATGTAATACTCTCATATTTTCAATACTATTCTTCTTTTTTTGTTCAAAACATTGCATTTGTCTCATTGAGTGAGTCCATGACCCGTTAACAGGTATGGAACATAATGTGAACTATCTCATACTAGATAATTGTGTAGTCTCAAGTACTTTTTTAGTTTTTAAAAACTGTCCTTCATCATTTAATGGTTGTAGTCACCTATTGGACAAGTTATTCTAAAATTTGCTAGACTGAAACTAAAATCTTGTATGGTCTCTTCTTTTTTTTTTCCAGATCCACTGTTTGTTAATTTCATAATTACCATAACATAATAATGTCCTTTCTTCTTTCATTTTCTCACCTTCAAAGTAAACTTGCCTCATCTATGCTACCCTACCTTTTCCTCAGCATTCTTGTTTTCTGTGACTTTTAGATTATCCATAATAACATCTGAAAATTTGACAAATGGATCCAAAATAATTTTGTCGTGTAGATGGATACTCCTTAGTCCACGGAGTCAGATTGTGGTTCTCAGGTAAAGTCCATTTTAAGAGGACACACTCTGGATTCAACCATGGGACCCTTATTGCTGAACTCTAAAGAGGGACACTGGAGTAACAGATGAGTCCACAGCAAGCCAAAGAATAAAATATATTTAAAGAGAATTAGTACTGAAATTTTTGGAATGCCATATCTTTTAGTGAAGTGTCTTCTCTACCTGTGATATACAGAAAGATCCACGTATAGGCATATTCAACATCTAATTAATGTGTTTTCCATTAGACCCAAAATAAATCTACAAACAACATAATAGAATTGAAACAAATAATAACACCTTTTCTGAGATTCATAAGGAAGAGAAAAACAATGCTTGCAATGCAGTTTTCCCAGTTTTGGTCTCTTTTAGATATGAGTCTGTCATAAATTGAATTTTCATATTCTAGACCAAGGGTAGACAAACTGTAGCCAATAGCTTATTTTTGTCAATCAGTTTCACTGGATGAGGTAAAGCTCATTCATTCACATGTTGTCTGTCTCTGCTCTTGTGCTACAAAGGCAGAGTTAAATAATTGTGACAAAGACTGTATGTATGGCCCGTGAAGCTTGAAATATTTACTATCTGGCCATATACAAAAAATATTTACCATTCCACATTCTAGAAAATGAATGAGAACTAGAACAGAGTATTTAGATCAAGTTTTTATTGAAATGTAGAGTAATAATCTCTCATAAAACTTTATAACTTGGAAACTATTTCCATACAACCTATTTGATTTTATTTTTATAAAAAACACAGGCATATAGGAAGACAAATATTTTCTTTAGCTAACAGAGTCACATGTTTTGAGAGTTTAAAAAATTTGAAGAGTTTGAGGTAGAGTCTAAATTAGGCCCGATCCCCTTAGACCCTACATGCCTTCACAATCTAATATGTACATGAGAACAAATATTATATTCACTTATCTAACAAGTTGTTGAATTGTCCAAGTAAATTAGCAAATTTTGATTTAGAGGAAAAAAGACTTTAAAATCTCACAAACATTACTTTTTTTGTGTGTGTGTGGTATAGGGTCTTGCTCTATCACCCAGGCTGGAATGCAGTGGTGCGATCATGGCTCACTTCAGCCTTGAAATCCTGGATTCAAGTGATCCTTGTGTCTCAGCCTCCTGAGTAGCTTGGAGTATAAGTGCATGCTACCACGTCCATCTTCCTTCTCCCTCCCTCCCTCCCCCCCCCCCCCCTCCCTCCTTCCTTCCTTCCTTCCTTCCTTCCTTCCTTCTCTCTCTCTCTTTCTTTCTTTCCTTCTTTCTTTCTTTTTTTCATGGGATTGCACCCAGGCTGATCTTGAGCTCCTGGCCCCAAACAATCTTCCTGTTTGGTCCTCCTAAAATACTGGGCTTACAGGCAAGAGACAATGCACCTGGGCCACAAGTATCACTTTATCAAACATGACCATTTCTGGATAATGAATAATATCCAGTATTTGAAGAAGAAAATTCTCAATTTTAATGAAATATTTCAAATCATTATTAATGCTACAGAGTCCATGATTTTGCTTTTTTTTTTTTTAAAGATGGAGTGTTGCTCTGTTGCCCAAGGCTGATGTGCAGTGGCACAATCTCAGCTCACCACAGCCTCTGAGATGGAGTCTTGCTCTGTTGCCCAGGCCGAAGTGCAGTGGCACAATCTTGGCTTACCACAACCTGAAGTGATTGTCCTGTCTCAGCCTCCTGAGTAGCTGGGGTTACAGGCAAGCACTGCCATGTCCGGCTAATTTTTGTATTTTTAGTAGAGACGGTATTTCACCATATAGGCTGGTCTTGTCTTGAACTCCTGACCTCAAGTGATCTGCCTGCCTCAGCCTCCCAAAGTGCTGGAATTATAGGTCTTCACATTTTTAAAGAATCATTCAGCATTTTTAATCAACACTTTATTTCTCAATATTTACAAGAGTAAGCAATTTGTTTCATGGACATTTTTGTGCATACAGCACAAAGCCTGGTCAGCATCGATCATTATGCTTTTACAATTTCATTTGTTACTTGTATGTGTGCAGAATTTGGGGACCTTGAAAAATCTAACAATCCTATTTCCACCTGCATGAAAATTTTAAATTGGAAGAATTATTATACTTATAAAAATTAAATATACCAGTCAGTATCATAAATAACATTTGACATTACCACTAAATTTGACAATATTGTCACCATACAGAAAGATTCACTATGAACTCAGGAGAAACAACTTATTTACTTCCTGTAGTTCAAAACGACAACTCTTAGTAACAACCCTGACCCTTAATAACAATCAGCCTAGAATAGACATTTCACAATGAGCCCAGCAATTGCCTTATCTTTGCCATAAGCTGCTTAGTTTCCTATCATTGGTTCTCTCCTCCCCTCTCCCCTCCCATTCATTTTTTGGGGTCTTTAAATTATAACATTATTATAGAAATGATTGTTGAACTCACGGATCATTAGACTTTGGAATAAGAGTGCCAAGCTCCTTGATTCGGTAGTTAATATTATACCTTCTTCTTCTTTCAACTATTAAAGAAGAAATATTATTGATTATTCTCATTAATGCATGGTTCACTTTTGGTCAGCTGTAAACTTTCTTAATAATCTTTTAAAAACAATGGGCAAAAAAACTTTCCACTTAGACAAAAGATGATACTTCTCAACAATAAAATAAAATTTCAATATATGCTATTCTAAAAGTGAAAATTTCAATATTACAATCATAAATATATGATTTACAGTGTTTTAAAAACATCTTGTCACAAAACAACATTAAAAAATTTTTAAATACTATAATACTTATACTGAAATTTATATATATATATATATATATATATATATTCATATGTATATGTTTACTCTGTTTGATTATTTCATACATTGGCAATTTGTCAATCCGTAAGGATTGTAATCTTTTGAGGTCATGCAGCACGATTTATTCTTCTCATATACTGTCCTGAAAGCCTAACAGAATGTTTAGCACACAGTAGATACGTGTATTCAATTAGACTCTATGACCTCCTCGAGGGCAGGGACCTATCTTACTTCTTTTTCTATCACCAGAGGGCTTGACATATAGGAGGTGGTAAATAAATGCATGTGGATTAGACTGTAAATTTATTTTTATGTTTTCGTTTCCAGTAATATATGAATAAGTGTTTTTCATACTTTGGTACTCTTCAGACACACCTGGAAGGATTGTTAAAATAGATTTGCACCATACACTTAGAAATTCTAATTTTAGTGTGTCCTGGAAGTAGGGGGAAAAGAGTAGACAAGAATTTGCATTTCTAACAAGTTTCATGGTGATGCTGATGCTGTTTTTGTAGGTCCAAAGCTTTGCGAACTACTGATATAGACTCTTATTCAGAAACTGCTTTCTCTTTTTGTATTTCCACACATTCATTGCTTATGGCAATTTTCTGCACATAGTAAATGTTCAACATATGACATATATCTGTCAAATTTCCGGTATTACTCTTCTATAAGAGCAATCTTCTACTCTATATTCCTAATATCAAGAATCATAACATAAATATGGTATCTTTTCCAACAGATATACTTAAAGCTTTAAGGGAAGTAAAGGTAGAAAAGGCTATGAAGAAGAAGGAAAATATAGTTTTTAAATGTTAGAAAATACTTAAACGGTTCAAACTTAATAATTATGAACTGCTATTAGAAAAAAGGAAAGTCACCAAAGACTATCAACTATCTTGATGAACTTACTCTACAAAGCAAATTACATGAATGAATTTGACCTCCAGGAATAATACATTGTGATTCCTTTAATATGAGAATATAATTGATTCTAGTAAGAGTTTATTTTCCCTCTTTACCAATCCTATTTCCCCTGTGAACATGATTCAAAAAATAGCTAAATGACCCCACAAAAAACACTGACTAGAAAATAAAGGTAAAACTGATAGAAACATATATACACAGATATTTTATATATGCATATGCTATATACACATATATGTATAATATATATGTAATACATATGCATATATAAAATAATAAGAATAAGAATCTATTAATAATTTTATGTCCACACACATTAACTCTTACAAACCAGGCTTTTAAAGATGAAGAACAACTATGAAAGAAGTTCACAGTGCTATCTCAAAATAAGGGACTGTTTTTGTCCTATGACGTTTCTTTAAGTTATTTTATTTAAATCTATCTTACGTAGAATGTCAGATCCTTCTCTACTCTTCTTAGATAGTAGTCTATGAATTTTTGAATGGCTAATTATAATGAGAAATCTGGTTCTCCAATGTTGTTCATACCTAGTACTCATTATTTGTAAAGGAGTCAAGTTTTAAGAAATTACTAAACTACTTCATGCCAAGTGTGGTTTCACTCTTCACAAAGTTTTTGACACATTTACTCAATCCTGTCCTTAGATCCAGCAAGAGAGGCTCCTACTCTGATCAATATTTAGAAGAAGCCCTCTTGCCTTCTCTGGCCAGGCCTCCCTCCTCTCAGCAAGACAGCCACAGGGCCAAGGGAACCCTTCTAAACTATACTCTGGATTATCTGCATAAACAATTTCCTCCCTAATTCCCTGAGCTCACTTCCAGAGCCTGTACAGGCCACTTCCTTAGGTCCGTCCTCCTAAGGAAAGAACATGACATCAGTGTGCTCACTCGAGGCCTCAGTTCTGACCAAAGGGCAGTTGTTTGCAGGGCTGTGTATGGAGCTTGAATGTACAGAATAGGGTGTTCACAGTCAAGTTTGAGGCCACTCGTCGCACAGAATGTAATGGAGGGTGCAGAAAGAAGAGGGATGGGCTGCAAGCTGAGAGCTGGTGTTGGCCCGCCTTGACATTTTCACACCAAACTCCTATGAGTTGAAAATTCTAAATTTACTCCCAGTCTTCATGAAGAATGGAACATAATTTTATGTAGACATCTGGTAATTGGGACTTCCTTTGTAATTTTGCTCTGATCATCACAAGTTTTAAGCGTTTTTTCTAGATTCATTCTGTTTAAAACTTACAGTTTTTTTTAGTGTTTCCTCCAAAAGCAAGATGATATAGCAGGTATATCTAGGTTAAGAAACACTTTGATAATGGACATACAGGACACCTATGTTACTCCACATTAAATGACTTGTTTAAGCTCCAGACACAGTAGAGAGAAGGTAGGATTAAGGTCAGTAATCGTTAAGAGGTTAATTAGGAGAGAAGTCCATAGTTCCTTAATTTACTAATCCCTTCTATCAACCATTAGCTCTCCCCACTCATAATCTGGACCAAACTTATCTGCTCCAACACTAAGGGCATTGGGAATCAAATCATTTTTCTGAGGACTGTTATGACCACGTGCCAGCTCTTGCCTCACAGTCACATGCTCAGCAAACATCACTGTGACACAGGCAGGTGCTTTATGAACAGATGCAGGTTTCACAGGTAGGTGTAGAATCAATTTCAGCTAGTGACACATAAGGAAATTATTCATTAGTTTTAGGAATTTGCAATTTCTATTTATTTTTGTTTCATTCTACTCTTTTCTCAGTTTTTGATTTCACTTCCAGAAAAAAAAGGGCTTTACACTCAATTAGTCAAGCTCACTTGCAACTTAAGTCCTGACCAAACACCCTAAAGCTCAGCCTCCCTGCCAATCTGCTTTTTTTGCCCGATTTCTTCATCTCATATGACCTGTTGTCAGAGTCTAATTGACCCTTTGAAAGGCAGGAGAGTCCTGTTTGTTCCAGAGGTGGAATTCCGCACAACATAGCAATGCCTTTCAGATAACATATCATGAAGAAGGGAGGAACAAATTGACACAGAAAAACGAGAACCTGGAGTTATGTTTCCTACTATTTAAATGTTGTACATTTTCAAAAGTCACTTTTATTTCTTTAAACCTTTGAGTCAATGAGTCACCACAGAATTGGCGTGGTGAATATAAACACATTGGTGTGGAAAATATAAACAAATGCACTCATCTCAGTCACAGGCAACCTCCTTGGGAGTGAATGATCAAGGAGGGAATTCAAGATGTTTCATTTTGTGAAAATAGACAGCTTTTCTGAGAGTTCACATTGTTAATATTTCCCAAAATAAATTAAGTTGTATGTGCAATTAATTTTGGTCATCTGACATCAAAATACTTATGGAGTGATAATGAAATACCCAACACTTTAACCTCCATGCATTTCCTTTTACATTAATTTTATATGGAAAAATATATATATACTCACTGAGGTTGTGGTTGTCCTTTTTTTGTCTCTCTTTTGTTAAAGCTCTAGTGTCAGTTTCTGATCAAAAGAAAAATATGAACAATGCTTACTTCTATCTTAAAACCCCTCAAGGCAACATAATTCAGAACTACTAGGTGAAAATACAATATTACTTGCCCCAAAATGATGCAATAATATTTTTGATGCAGATATTCAGAAATTTGGAACATAGTACTCTTCAGTAAAAGGCAATGGCAAAGCTTTTAGGCTCTGGGATAACAGAAACTAAATTTATATTCTGGCCTTCCATTTAATAGTCGTGATCTATTACCAAACTTCTCTGTGTTTCAGGCTCTTCAACTGTAAAATGACTATAATACAACACCTGCCTTATAATCATTGTGATAACCAAAATAAATATACTACACAGAAAATATTATAGTATTCAATTCATATTTTTAGAATTTTGAGATTCAGAAAGAAATTATTCCAACCTAAATATTTTATTTGTAATTTATTTCTACATCCTGAGAGTTGGAACTCACTATATTTCTCAAATATCCACATGAAACAATTCCACACTTTCTTCCACTAAATGGCACTTTCCTCTATGTATGATGTGGTTGTGTTTATATGACCATCAGCCTCCAGGATGGCCTACAATGATTCTTACTTTGTAGTATTCACGCTTTGTAGTTCCCTCCCACATTAAATAAATAAGGCTGGCCTGTGATGCCACTGGTTTGTTGTGGAAATGACTAGTGTCCAAGGCTAGATAACAGAAGATATTTTTAACTTTCACGTCAGTGTCTCTTTGATCTCTAGTTCTCATGTCATGAGGACACTCAAGCAACCCTATGAAGAAGTCCAAGCAGGCAGGAACAAAGACCACTTTCCAACAGGCAGCACTATCCTACAAGACCTTGAGTGAAACACCTTGGGAGCACATCCTCCAGCCCCAGTCAAGTCTCAGGTGTCTGTACTTCTGGCTGACATCTTGACAACAGCCTCATAAGAGAGTCCGGTCAGAACGATTTCACTAGGCCACTCCTGCATTATTGATGCTCAGAGATTGAATGAGATTATAAATGTTTATTACTTTAAGTTGGTCAATCTCAGGGGTAATTTGTTGTTATGCAACAAAAATAATGAATAGAATATTGTTAGAGTCATAGCTTAAAAAGTTAATAAAATAATACATTTTATTTAATGTATTTGTTTAAAACTATATTCATTAATTTTAGCCTGAATAATTTGAATGCATAGATATTTTTGAATTATTGATTATGCTTTAAGAGTGGTCATGTTGTATTTATTTAAAATTTTATCATTAACTAGGTAAAATTACTGAAGATTGGCATTTAAGCTCCAAACCAAAGGTTTATGATGGAACTCTCAAGTGAATTTATTTACATTGTTCTTTTGGAGGGACTAACACTGGACTTGTAAGTCTGGAAATTCTTATGTTAATCCAGTTCTGCTTGTAACCAGCTGTTACACTTTTGGGAAAGTAGCTCCTCTGACCCCAGGTTGATTTCTTTGTCTACATTTTGGAAGAATTTGACTACACTTCTATAATTTAAATTTTAACAATTTTGAAATAAACTATTGAAAATTGAGGGTTTATTTTCAACTAAAAAAATTAAATGCGAGTCTATCATTAAATCCATAAAATAAGCTAAAAAGGAAAAAATTTTCAATATTTGTTTTTTATCAAATTCTTCATACAGAGTAGACTAATTTCTCCAATTTATTATATCACTTTTTTACCATGTTAATAAATGGCATTTATTTAATGTAAAAATGAACTATTGTTAAATGAAACTTTTATGTATGTATATCTGTTTGTGTATATACATGTATATATATTTATATAAAACGTATGTGCATATTTGCTCAACTTCTAAAATAATCAATTCAGTCAAACTGTAAGTTATATTAACTTACTCCTTGGCTATCATAAAAAGAAATGATGAATTTATGCTCTGTCTCCTTTTTTGTAACTGTTTTGATATATTTTTAAAATTCTAGTTAGCGTAATATATGCCACTTATGCCTTATGTCATTAATAAAAATAAAAAGGGTAAAACTAAAAAAGCAACATTACCTGTAATTTCTCTTTTCATTGGTAGACTACTTGGACAGGAAGCACTTGTAAGCCCCATGTTAACTGGTGAAATTCCTTGTTCACCACTATACACATCCAAAATACTTCCAGATAACTTGAGAGGAAAAAGGAAGAAAAGATTAATAAAACCTTTGAGTAAATTGATATATTTAGTTGTATATTTTACATTTTCCACTTTAAATGTGGCATTTTCTTAATAATAATTTGTAATTTAAGGCATTTTACCTTTAAACAAGACATGAGTATGCATTAACTTTTTAAAAATACATTATAAAATGCTTGCAGATAAGGTGTGCTGAAAAAAAGTTATATGTGTTTAAGCAAAAACAGAAATCAGTTCATGTATGGAGGAAAGCTTCCTATTAATGTTCACAAAGTTAGGTAAGTTTGATCCAGCACATGACCTGGTTACAAATAGATACAATTAAAAATATCATTTTGGACAAAAATCAATACACATCTTTGCAAAGCTTGGAAAGTTCATCACATCCCACAAATTAGGTATAATGGTTGAATATTTTGGGGGCCTTCTTAATACCATCAGTGCTACCAGCAACTCACAGTCAAGAGGTGTTTTGCACTGTGAATTAAATGAGACTCTCTTTCCTTCCTAGAAGGCATATCTTTTCCCATTGTACACTTAATGTTCTAGATTGTTATAAATATCCCAGCTGGTAACCAAAAGTAGTCTAAACTACTTTTGCCTCTAGTGAATATAGGGTACATCCAATTATAGCAACACTGAAATTCCTGAACTGCTCCTTGGGAACAATTTTTCAGAAATGCTAAGGTGCTTCATATACAATTCCAAAATTGCACCAATTCATTATTCAAAGTGTGCTTATCGATTTGACTTCCCAAGAAAATTAAATTTAAATAATATTCATATTTCATATTAATACTCATTACTTCAGAACAAGCTGCATTTACAATGTAGGATTTGAAATTTTAAGCTATTTCCATTGCAAGTATATTTATTCCATTTCTGTCCAATAAACCAAGAGCTGAATAAGAAGCAAGTTTTTTTCTTTCCTCAAGGACTAGAAACAAAACATACAATCAAACAATGCTCTAACAAGTTTTTCATGAAGAATCTAACTTCACAATCCACTTTTTGCAAAATTCCAATTCAATCTGAGAGAATTTATAAAATCAGACTGGAAAAAAATATAAAGAAAGGACATATTATGACTAAAATTAGTTTCTGAGATGATAATCTATTACAGTATATACAATAAATATTGGATATACCTGAGGGAAAAAAATTTAAAAAATACATTTGAAATTACATCAGTTTATATGCATATCCATAAGGACATTTTAGACTTGTATCACACTCAGATGTATATTTTCATATTTTTTCATTATTAACTCTATTAGGACCTTCACATTTATTTTATATAAATTCATTTTTAAGAGATTTTTGCCTTATTGTTCTTGGAAAGGAGCTACAGTCAGCTATTGAAGTCAGCTATCCCTCCTCAATTTTCTCTTCTGCAAAATAAGGACAAAGTTGACCAAATTAGGCAGACAATGTGTGTTCGTATCAAATAAATACAATTATTCTTTGGAAGAAATCCAAAAAGCAGATGCTTTTCTAAGGTATGACTCACCTAGTCATACTTTTTAAAGTGTAAATTTTCCAAGGTCATTTTTGAAAGGCCTGATGGTTATGAGCTGAGACATCACCAGCCTGAATTGTACATTTCCACTGTGCCTTTGAGAAGCATAATGGACACATTGAACAAAAAGGGAGTGAGGGGGACAGAACTAGGAAAAGGGCACTTTTCCTCTGAGGAGCTTGAATTCAGATAGATTTCAATGTAGAAGTGGCAAGTTGCAGAAATGTTAAGGAAGAAAAGGAGCCACATTATAGATCTACTGCAACAATAAAGTAAGAGTTTCCTAACTATACCATTTCCTTGCCTCCATATTACCTGGTCACACAGCACCCAGTGCATTATTCCTTAGAAATGGGGTTGAAAATCTGATAATGAACCTAATACTGCTTAACTGTAGCCATATTACATATTCTCCCGATCTTGATTATTGTCTAATTTATGCCCTAAAGCACAATAATTAATATCCTATTTAATTTTATGCTGTAGGTACTGCCCTGTTTCATGTAAATGGCTAATCTCTTTTTGAATATCATTAAGCAATTGAGTTCAGTTTCAAAGTATGTAATACACTTCATGTAACCTAAAGTGCATTTTCCCCATTAAAAGATGTAAGAGTACAATGTTAGTGAAAATGTACAGATTGCATTCACCTCTGAAAAAGCTACCAAAGAAAACTTACATCAACCTTTGCCAACAGTATAGGTTACTTAGCTAATAAGGTCTAAGTTTTAACTGTATGTTGTAGATCAGTAGGCAATGAATACCTATTTTATGAAGAAATATTCATTATGATATTTTTAAAAGGTTGCTTTCTCAGTAAGGCAAAATCTTCAATGTGTTCAAAAGGCAAACATACTATTAACAAAAAATTCACAACCTTAAAAGACATAAAATAAAATAAAATCCAGTCAACAAAGTGAGAGAGACGGCCTGATAGAGCACAGCCTACTTCTCTACAAGGCAGTACTTCTGTCTGATAGAAAAAATGGACTCCTGATCTGAGAAACTGCTTTGAGTTGAGGAGTGATTGACAGTAGTTTCCTGGTATCAGAGGCTCTTCACCTTAGATTTTATTCACATCTCCACTACTAAGGTCATAGGGACTGAAACAGACAGAGTCTAACCTTTCCACATATACACAGCTATCTACAGTAACTAATATTTCCCAAAGAAAATGAGCCAGCAGGTCAAAATATCGAAACAATTGAGGAAAATGACTATTTCAAGAGTAAAGCAACAAGCAACATTATAAATAACATCAAATGTATTTGTAATAATTTTTAATATAAAATAATAACAAGCAAACATATGACTAAAGAGACCAAGGATAAATGAGAGATATGAGAAATAGAATGCTTAGGAAAAAAACCTGTAGAATTGAAAAAACAATATAACGGAAACAATAAAAAAGAAATAAAAGAATTGGTAAAATATAAAACTGAAATTTTGCAGTAATCTCCCAAGAGGATAAGGAAAAGGACCAAGAAATAGAACATCTGAAAGAACACCTGAACAATATAGAGGAAAGAATTATTAGAACTTAATTACAGATAATAGAAGTTTCAAAAAGAGAGAAAAATAAAATTAGAAAAAAGAAAAAAATTTTTTACATAATTGAGATACACTTTTAAGAATTAACAATAATTAACAGACCACAGTGTTTTATTTTATTTTACCTTATGTTATCATATTTTCTTTTCATTTAATAATCAAAGTGTTTATAGAATGGCTAACAAGAATGATAGAAAAACCTACATTCAGATATATTATACTAAAATGAAATAGTATACAATAATAAAGAGAAAAAAATCTAAAAGCCTAAAGAAAGATTATGTACAAAGAACAAGATTCCAATTAATATAAAACTTTCCAATAGAAAAAGTGAATGGAAAAATGAAACAAATATGTATTTTAAAACATTGAAAGAAAAATTAAAACAGAGCTTTATATCTAGCTCAAATGTCATTCACACATGAGGCCATTATAAAAAAAATATTCTTAGGCATGCAATGCTTAAGAAAGTTTATCCCACAAAGACTAACACTAGGTAAAGTGCTTAAATAAGTAGAGATATTTTAGAAATAAACTCAAAAATATAAAATAAAATTGATCAAATATCTTGGTAAAGTGATTCTGGAATAAATAATGGGGGTGGATTCAAGATTGAAGATTAGGTGAAACACATAACTATGTAACTCAATCTAGATAATATCAGCAGAATTGGGTTGATATAGCAGGGAAGCCATAGGATGTGAAAGTGGTAAGAATGTATTAAGGAGAAACACATTAAAAACGAGACACAAAAATGAATTAAGATAAGAAGAGCAAGTGAAAATATATCAATAATAATAATTGATTTAAATAGGTCAAACTCCCTAGGTAAAGGCTCGACAGAGGAAGTAAGAAAACAGGAACTAGACATAAATATCTTACAAGAGACATATCCACATAGTAAGAGGACACCTAAAGATTAAAAGTTGCAGAATGAAAAAAGATACATCCAGCAAATAATATCCACAGGGAAAATGATATAGCTATATTAACATCAGATAAAAGGGCTTTCATGCTTAAAAAATTATTAATGAAAATGAGTCACTATTTCTAAGAGGTATAACAATTACAAGCATGTGTACTCCTCATAAAGTAACCTCCAAACATGTGAAACAAAATATTTAGAACTACAAGGGGAAATGAATAAATACACCATCGCAGTGGAAGACTTTAACACATATCTCCTCATTTTTGAAAAGTCAAGCATACAAAAATAATCAGTAATTCTATGGAAGGTTTGAACAATAAATGTAAAAGCTCAGCCCAATAGACACGCATATAGTTTTACATGAAGAAATACAGTATATATACTTCTCTCAAGTACATTTGGAACATATATAAAAACTGATTAGGTGCTTAGTCAAAAGAAACTCTCAACACATTTCACAGAGTATCTGATTGCCAAAATATTTGGAAATTTTAGAAAATTGTTAAAAACCTCAAAGTTTAAGATGAAATCATACTGGAGTTTTAAAATAAAACAAAGATAAAACACATGTAAAGAAATGTCTGGGATATGACAAAAACAATTCTTTAAAGAAAATTCATAGCCTTAAATGATAAATGACAAATATATTCATTTTTGAAATATATATAAATTAAGCATTATTTTTTATAAAAGGGGAAAAATCCAAATAAACAAAAAAACTAGAACAGATAATATAATAAAATAAGACCATAAATCAATATAGAACAAAAAAAATACAATAATAGATTCACAAAGCAAAAGTTGTTTTTATTTGAAAAAAATTAACAAGATGGACATGCTTCTGGCAAAATTGATTAAGTGAATAACATTTCAAATAAAAGAAGAGAGTAACTACAGTATATGTTAGATTTAAAAGGTAGTTAAGTTTCTCCCATAAGATTAGGAACAAGATGAGGATGCCTATTTTCACTATTTCTATTCAACATAGTATTG